CATCCCATCTAACAGAGGACTTCCATACTCTTAAAGTAGTGGTTCTCAACCTGTGTAACCTCAGGACCCACATTTGTTCTTGGTCCTTAAGTCACACTGCAATTAAACACACGCATTAGGTACCGGTGCGGGCATACGAACTGTGTGTGGGAGGTGCGTTTGGGGTACCATTAAAATAAATGTCAACGCAACACACCACCCACACCAGAATGCATGGTAGGTGCGATTGTGTGGTACAGTGCGTTAATGGCACGGTACTATGCGATGAATGCACCGCTCAGTGTGGGCTGCTGTGCTGTGGCAGAGCTCCATCCATATGTGTATTGCTTATACAGCTCCCTTGCATGCCCTGTACAGGTGCCGGGAGCCAGAATGTGATGTCATCCTGGTCCAGGCACCTCTACAGGGCACGTGAGGGAGCCGTAAGCAAAGCATGTATGGATGGAGCTCCCTCACGGCCACAGCCCCATCCCACCCCCACCTCAAGATGACACTTGGCGCCGGGCAGCAAAAGGGCATTTTGAATGGCTGCTTGGCTCAAGAACTGACAGTGCTGTGCTAGGAGGCGGCAGAGGAGCCTCTCACCTAGAAAAGTAGAAGGCATGCAGCGACCCACTGAACACAGGGTTGCGACCCATTTTTGAGTCACGGCCCACCAGTTGAGAACAATGGCTCTAAATCCTCCTCGCTGTAGGTTTCCCTACTACACTATCACAGATGCCATAAAGATCACTTCCTGCTCTAATCTGTCTCGTTTTGCAGTACCGATACTCCCTGTATGATGTACCTCCGTCTCATTTTGCTACCACTGCGGCTCACTTTCAACTTTCTGCATTTCTTTGTACCCTGCGATATGAAAAAGCATATTTGATAAAGAATTTACAAAAAGAGTTAATTTATCCATATATCAAAATTAAATGCCATCTATAAATGTTATTAATCTTTATGGAGTACTTTATGAGTACATTATGAACACACAAAAAAAGTGATAAGTGAGACTCGGCTAACTGTTTACAAATGGAATTGTTCTGAATTGAATCCGGATCACCATCTAGTGTCTGAAACAATAAATGCACAATAAACTAAATAAATACAGATACACTGTATGAATAAAAGATTGCGAATATCCAATTGTCACACCTACTATATAGCCATAAATATATGGGATTATGTGTTTCCAGGGAGGGGTACTGGTGTACTTGTAACCATACAAAGTCATTTAAGACAATTGTGCGCTTCCAGTCTTGTGGAAAGTTTGGTGAAGACCCTTTTTTGTTCCACCATGACTCTTCTCTCTCTCCCCCCCCCCTCCGTGCAAAAAGGGGGAGTTTGATATAGGGGAAATAAAGTGGCCTGCACAGAGCCTGGACCTCAAACTTACTGGACACCTTGGGGATAACCTGGAACATTGATCTTGTCATCAATACATGAACCTCAGAAATGAGCTTTGCTTGCATGGGCACAGATTTCCACAAACACACTCCAAAATCATGTGGCAAGACTTCCCCTAAAGGTGTGATGGTCAGATGACCACTTTTGGCCATACAGTGTATTTTCCCTCGTTAGAAGAATATTGTACTATGTAGACTAGGGCTGCAACCAACTAATCGATTAAAGGATAATAATCGATAATGAGAATAGCGGTCAACTATTCTCATCGATTAGTTGGTTAGATCCCCTAGCTGTCTCCTCCACGCTGGGAGGACGACACAGCAAACAGTGGGTGCAATGACCACCCTGCTATCGCAATTTAAAATGGCCAATAGCAAGCTGGCTATTGCACCCGCCCACTACCTGCTGTATTTACATTCAGCTGCTGTCTGCGGGATCTTGCCACTGGCAGCTGTCATTCCCTGGCTGAAGCTATTCAAGCGCCATGTGCTTACAATACAATTATTTAAAAAAATAAAAAATTATAAAAAAAAAGGTGGGAAAAAAAGTCATTTTCGGTTTCAGCCAGAGAAATTCTGCTGCGGGAGGTGCGTTGTAGTGATATTTATTTCAATGGCACCCCAAACGCACCTCCCACCCACAGTGTGATCACTCGCACCAGAACACACGGTACTGCAATGCTGTACGTTCCAGTGCAGTTGCAAACAAATTGTGCATGCAGTTTTATTGTGAAATAAACTTTGTAACACTGCATTTGTGTATTTTATCTTAAACAAAAGGATGGTATTTATTTTTTAATCCGATTAATCGAAAAAATAATCAGCCAGCTAATCGATTATGACAATAATCATTAATTGCAGCCCTAACGTAGACTACCTAAATATATCTAACTATATACACATTTATAGAACATCTAAAGATTAGGACTTTGTGGAAACCTTGTTCTCAATTAATATGCATAATCTCTGCTGGACTTAAGAAAGTGAACCTGTGCTTTCCCCATGCAGGTCAAATCACCAAGTTCACATGAATGCCACACTCACCGGCAGGTCATACTCAGCCTAGGCTCTCCATCTCCTCCAATGTTCCAGTCTCAGGAGTAAAAAGAAATACCTGGTATCCCGAGTATGGGGAGCATGCGACTGCTATTGCTTTCTCCCATGTGACAGCACTGCTACTTGGCCAATGACTGCTTGTGAATTAGCAACATCAAATGTGGATGAGGGTGATGATCCTCAGCCCTGTGTAAACTTCAACTACAGTCGACTTAGAGCTTACACCTAGCTGCTTCTACTGACTACTAGGGTTGAACAGAGCAGCAGTATGAGCTTCTGCATGGGCCAGCTATAAAGTAAATCGGTTGCTTTGCCCTGTAAAAGGCAGAGTACAGGTCCACTTTATAATTAGATCTATATAGCTTTCTCATAGCTAATTTTTATGCAATAACTACACACACACACACACACACACACACACACACACACACACTAGTTTCTAATATTTAATAAGACTGTATAACCACACAGGTTACGGTGAGAAAAGACAAAATGAATCAGAAAGTCCTCCAGCCAAATCAGTGTGTAGCACAGTAGCGCCTTCGCAGAGCAGAAGATATTCACATACGTTTCTCCATCACTTATCCCAAAAATAAGAGGATCGTTCCTTATTTCAGGACAACTTGCGGAGCCATGAAAGTCATCCCTTTATGCCTCAAAAATCTAGATGCATATCCAGAACCAGAACCACAGGCATATAGTGCAAAATACAGCCCAATTTATTCCAAACTGCATACAGCTGTTTCAGGCTTTCTGGCTATTGGTGCAATGTATGGAAACAATAGATTTTATAGAGTAGGGCTTTTATAACCCAACGAGACAGTATAACCATACAGAATATGGTGAGAAGGGGGCTAAAGCAATCGAAAATCCCTCTAACAGAATTGGTGTGTAGCACAGTAAAGCCTCCTTACAACAGAAGGTATTCACATGTCTCATTCAATCATATATCCCACTTCTCTTACTTAAGGACAGTAGGTGGACCCATGCAAATGACCCTTTTATGCCCCATCAGCCAGATGCACATCCAAAACCACAGGTGTAGAATGCAAATACAGCCTAATATTATAGTATAATAACAGAGAACAACATTTTAAGATTCTCTTTTAGGAGTGTTTTTTTTTTGGCTCCCTCCATGATCCAAGTAGTCTTCCTCTCGCATGGACTTCCCAGTCATTCTACATGAAGCCAATGTAACACTAGTGATCCAGTTACCAAAATCACCTACCAGCTACAGATCTCCAACACAAGATGAAGAACATTCAAGTGTTCCTACAGCTTGACACACTATCACTGGTCAAACCAGCAAGGTGTTGCTCCATTATTGCTCCCTCATTGGATGGGCAACATTGTGCAGCGCTTTGACCAGCAAACGAGCGACAAACCTACAAGCAAGTCAGTGTTCTCTTTAGCAGTACTGTTAGCAACATAATTACTAGTGTAAATCCTGAGCTGAACACTCCTTACAGTACTAGACTGATATCATCAAGAAGCGCCTCAGGGCTAGTTCCCAAGTGCAGAGCAGTTACAGAACGCATCAAAACTGCGTCCAATGTATTACAATGGTATTTTGGGCTCTAGTTCACACCGCAGCGTTCAGTTCCAGAGCATGTGGAAAAACTGCAGCATGCCCTATTTTTTCTGCTGTGGAACGCACCAAAACGCATGCAAAAGTCACCAGCAGTCCAAATAAACTAAATTTGTTTACACTAGGGATGCACCGATACCATTTTTTTTAAATATCAAGTACCGATATTTAAATTTCGGTACTCGACGATGCCGAGTACCGATACCAGTACTTCCGCTAGCATGGAACTGGCATCCCGGGCAATAAGAAAGATGGGTGCCGTGTCATTACCCGTCACCCCGGTGTTTGATTGCCCGGGAAATTGGCTCCATGCTGTTTGGCTGCGAAGCCGGCTACTCTGCCAATCAGAATGGAGGCAGCATCCCGGCCAATCAGAAAGCAGCTCGTTATCTGCCGCCTGACTTCCTGATTGGCCGGAAAGCCGGCTCCATGGTCCCTCGTGGCACTGTATAAATTTCAGGGTATCGGGGGAAATTATTGGAGCTTTTGGGCGAGTAGGAGAGTATCAGTACATCCCTAGTTTCTACCATTTATTATGCACACCTAAAGTGTATTTCCCCATTTGCAGCCAAATTGGGGTTAACACCTACTAAATATATTTGTTACATGTTCCCAATCACATAGCTTAAAAAAAAAAAAAAAAAAAATTGCAGCTTACATTTTTTTAGATGTTCTTTGTGCTAACTCCAGGACTAAAAAAGCCTGCTTAGTTCTCATTATCTGTGGGGTTGGGTTCTTCAGAATAATTGTGCGGTCCGATTTCATTATCACTTGTAAACTAGATGCCCAGAACTGTCTGTACTAACAAAGGGTTAAAGACCTGAAGATATTTTATGTTAAAGAGGTGACGCTCAGTCTGTCCTTGTCTTTCTATTAGGACAGTCACCATTTCCCATTACTGTAATTGAGAGGGAAGCTTGCAAAGGCCTGCTAGAGATATTTAAAAAAAGGTAAGAAATATGTTTTTTTTAGTCTTAGATATACTGTGTGAATAGGACACATGACAAACATACAGTGGGAGTTTTCTCAGTTTTGACTGCAAAGGTGGAAATGTCACATAAGCCGATTTGTTGATATTGAACTTTGTGACATTGGGTGTTCACAAAAACTTGCTGAAATGAATTTAGTGGAGTGCTTTCTATTACAAGATTGCCGGTCTGACATTGTTCTAATGGAGAATGTGTTAGGGGAAGGGTAACATCATTAGTTACCATTCAGGAGGGGGTAACAGCTGTGTGGGTGGAGCGGGGCACCTTGGAGGGGAGATGTCACCATTTACATCCCAGTGAGAAACATATACCTGCTACAGGAACAGCAGTTTTGAATGAAGTTGGTTTTTATGTGATACTCCACCAGAAACTGTTCAATGACAACACTTCAGGGTATACAAGAGGAGATCAGCCTCATCAAATGGCTGCAAAAAAGATTAAAAAGGAAAGAGACCCATCTACTTACAGACTGATGAACAAAGGAAATATCCTGGGAGGCTGCCAGTCTGCTGGAGTAGCCCAGGCTGCCATCTGGGATGCTGTAATTGGTTGGTTCTCTCTTCTTTACCACAATCTGAAAAAAATATCACAGAAGTCAGTACAGTACTGATCCATGTCTACATGCAGAGCTTAAAGTGACTCATGAGAAAAGTGTCGGGGGTTTTAATAGCAGACCTTTAATAGTAAATCACAGACCTGGAACAATCATATTGTAAATGTCAGCATTCTTTTTTATCACTTTGTTGCTCTGGGTCAGACGCTCAGAAAACATTGGAGCCAAATTTTCAGCATATCAGCCAGGGAACCAACAGAGAGGTCAGCAATGGCAGCCCCTCACCTTATTCATGTCAGAGTCACTTTGAACATTAAAAAAAAAAACTCCACTTTCATTAAAAATCTAATTCAACGTAGACAATACAAATGGTTACAAAAAGCAGAAAATAAGACAGTTTCAGAATTTCTTCCATTGCAGTGATGAATCCAAGAGACATGAAGTCACAGTAAGTATGTACTTAAACTAAGATCTATACCACTGCTCCAACTCACTTGTGCAAAGACACAGAGAATGTATAATAATAAAAAAAGGTGTGTGTGTGACCCTGGTTTCTTCACTCACTTGTCAGTGGGGTTTTCGGGTATCCCACCCACCCCCTTTTTTACAATACACCTTCAGTATGCCCCCTTAGGCATATCGTCTTATGCGGCCAAGGCACACCTCAGGTCATGGTAAGTAGGTTTGTCATGCTTGTTCGTGTCCAGACTCTGACCACGAATGTGTGTGTGTGTGTGTGTGTGTATATATTAATTCCTGACAACTATACTGTATATACACACACAATTCTGTTCAACTACTACTGTTTATAGCAAATACATAACTTCACCAGCAACTCATTAGCTTGCTACATCACCCTCCCACCTCCAGCTTGCTCATTGTACTATATCTAAACATCATAAAGTGCATCCAACTTTGGGTAGTAGAGACTGTGCTAAACCCCTGGCTTAACACGAGGAGGGGCAGAGATTAACCTCAACATTGAGAGTAGTCAAGTCCCCATGTATAGACGGGGCCTAGGATCCAAAGGACTTCTCGGGGACACAGGGATCCATATTAAGTCCAACACGTATTTGAAGGCACCACAGCCTTTAACTCAGTGCTGTTGTAAGCTTATGTACTTTATAGGACTTGTCAGGTGCATTTAAACTGTACATACAAAACACTGCCACCAGTGTCCACTACAGTCTTCTTCTTTACAAAAGGGGTGGTAAAGCCCGTGGAAGGGAATGGCAGCCTCAAGTAGAGTCTAAGTAGACAGAATCACTAGGGATGCACCAATACCAGTATTGGTGCCGATACCGAGTATTTCGGAGAGTACCCATTGCCCAAATGTTCCGATACCGGAACTTCCGGTTAGAGGGTGATCTCCCTGTGACCTCAAGTGGCAAAGAAACATGGAGCCGGCTTACTTTCCAATCAGGAAGCCGGGAGATGGGTTATGACACGCCTCCCAGCTTCCTGATTGACTAAGAAGCCGGCTTAACTTGTTGCTAGGCAGCCTGGCTACATAACCAACCAGGTAGCCGGGCGGCATGTAATGACCCGTTTGTCAGGAAGCCAGGCTGCCTAACAAGTGAAGCCGGCTTCCTAGCCAATCAGGAAACCGGACGGCACCTCATGACTCGCCGCCCAGCCTCGGCTAGTGAAGCCGCTAGAACCTCGGCTTCACAGGCAATCAGTAAGCTGGGCAACTGGTCATGATCCGCCGCCTGACTTCCTGATAATATGGGTGCACGGCACTGGTACTCGGTATCGGCGAGAACCGGAAAATATATAGATCGGTACTTGATACAGAAAAACCTGCATCAGTGCATTCCTAAGAATCACAATACAACTTTTTCTACATCAGTGTACAAACATATATAAATTAAAATCAAAGAGATAATTACTTGTGCAGCTGCTATAAAACACACACATTTGCCTAAATCCAAAAGCTGTATAGCAGATGAACATGTATTTGTGCAGAATGAACCCAGCAAGTCCAACTGATATAACTGGAAAACAGGTCCTGGCTTGTCAAAATGATGATGTCCAATTTATTTTATTTCATGCAAGCTGTCATTGTTTTGTTTTTTTTGTAAATTCCCTTCTGGCGACCTGCTAGGACAAGATCCACACTATTTAAAAGGAACCCTCAGTTTAAATTTGCTAAATATATTCCAGGTGCATCAAAACAAAATGTGTGCAGTGGTCTCGGACCCGTTCACCATTGTAACGTTACAAGTGTAGCTTTGATATGGTGCAGTCACCCTTACTTTTCACTTCCTCCTGAAAAGTGTACACCAAAAACATCCACAAGGAAAATGCACTGCTAACACAAAGTATGACTGGCCCAATGGCCACAATTCCAATAGGTACTGATTGTAAATGAGTCCTAAGACAGGGCTAAACTAAATCATAGGTGCCAGTTACCTAGCTTCCAAAATGTAAAAAGGGTAGCTTTTAGAGCTGCAACAACGATTCCATTTAGTCGATTAAAATCGACGATCGAAAACGTTACCAACGTTTTCGATCGTCGATACCCCATTCCACCATCATACCCGTCCTCTGCACCCCATTCCACCATCATACCCATCCTCTCCATCCCTGCACCCCATTCCACCATCATACCCGTCCTCTGCACCCCATTCCACCATCATACCCATCCTCTCCATCCCTGCACCCCATTCCACCATCATACCCGTCCTCTGCACCCCATTCCACCATCATACCCATCCTCTCCATCCCTGCACCCCATTCCACCATCATACCCGTCCTCTCCACCCACCCTAAAGGGTAAATTCACTTTCCCAAGTAATTTGGGAAAATAGAATTACCCGCACAAATCTCCCTCCCACTATACTTACCTTTCGGCGAATGGTCCTTCCCCCTCCACCAGTACGGGTGTACTATCTGTACCTGTTCCATGTATTCTGAATTTCGCTCGCAAATTGCAAGCACTCGTTGGTCAACGCGGTCACCTGATGGTACTGACCAATGAGGAGCGCTTCTTAGCACTGCTAAATACGGTTTTGGTTGAAATTATTTTTTTTTGTATCAGGACAAGTAGATTGTCATGAGGGACAAGTAGATTCGGCCGCCGCTTTAGTCCTTGGACAAGTAGTTTTTTCCAAAATTTCCACACCCCTGTCAATACAAACTATTAGTCCATCACTGGAGCCTTTTTTTTTTTTAAATCCGATTAATCGAACCCTAATAAATCGGCTAACTAATCGATTATGAAAATAATCCCTATCCCTAGTAACTTTCCCTATCCATCTCTCAGCCCTAGCTAAACTACACCACCCCAGCAGCTGTCTGTGTATTTACTTCTGGAGCCACGGCCTCCTGTAGTGTTTGTAGCCTTTTTAATAGTAATCTGTTTGGGGTCTCCCCTGCACACTCTCCCCCTATATGTGTATAACGAGATCTAATAAGTAGCCCTATTCATGCCTATTGAGACACAGCACAGGCACAAATAACGCTGAACAGATTTTCATTGGACAGCCTGCAACACTAGTGAGGGTCACAGCCTTGAAACTGAGGGAAGTAAGCAGCCGAGGAGGGAATGTAAAATCAAATAGGTACAGCTACCCTGTAAGCCTTTTCTATGATTGTAAATGAACATGTTGCCTGGCTCACTGAAATACAATCAATTTGCCTTTTTTATTTTGTCTATGGCTCAAGCTTTCATTGTGAATGATAGCGACTACACTTGGTCAGTCTAGCTATACAATTCCATTCTTTTTAGTCGATTCCACCAGCTGTTTTTACTTTTCTTTGTTTACTCGCCAATCTGTTCACCCACCGAGTGTAAAGAGGGGAAGCCATGTGCATGCTTCTAATTATTACTTTAGATAGCGCCGTTGTCTCTCTTCTCAACCCCATGGGACACTGCTGGGTGTCTGAGAGGCCAATTTACGAAGAGAGAAATTGTCATGCGAGAGGTAGGGGAGCAAGGCATATGTTCCCTATACCCAGAGCTGTTAGATAACTTTGCTTCACTCCTGAACGGAGAGGCAGAGAAGTGAAGGGGAGGTGAGAGTAAGCAGCTGGCTCACTAGAATAAACCTGTTGCTTTGTCCTGCAAGCGCAGAAACAGGTTTGCTTTAATATATACAGTAGGAGTCCCTTCTGAGTTTGAAATCTAAAAAATAGGGTCAATGTTTTCTCCCAAGACTCAAATATTTTTAAACAACTGAATCTTGAAGATTTTTAACAATGTGAAAACGTGTCAATTCTGGCTGAAACCTTGAATAAATAGACCCTAAACCTCTACATTTTGTGTTGTCAGATTATTTATTTTATTTTTTGATCCGGAGTCGAATAATCAAAGATTGTGTCAAACCCAGAACTGTTGAAAGAAATAAATGTGTGGACAGCAACAGACTAAACTGACAGAAATGTATTTACCTATGGTTTAAAATCTACAGGTCAAAAGTAGTCAAGACCTGCAATGTGAACATTGATCTGCGATGATTTGGGGGACAGCAAAATAAAAGCAATACAATAACTAGATGACGGAACAGGAAGGAAAACAGTCTCACTTTCTGTGTTTTCCGGATGGTTGGCGTCATATCCCTAAAGTAGTCCGGTTCCTGTGGCTCCAACGAATTCTGTGTAGCTAAAGTTCCATTTCCACCTTCAATCTTTACACTTGTGGGGGCTTCATCATCCCAGGAGCTCCATTCCTCCACCTATATGAAAAAACAACAAGAAAATGAATTCTGCAAAGCTACATCTTTTCTTTAGAGGTGGAAATATGGTGGCTGTCGCTGCCGATCTCCTGAAAATGCTAGCTACCTGACCGACCCCATGTCTGTCATACTTTCACAGGTCATTTGACCCGTAAAAGCATAGAGAGCAATAGTTATGTCCTCACACTGACTGTCAGGCAATTAACATTTCTGGTAGAGGCAGCCAGCATATTTATCTTAATATTTTTTGCTTCCCTACAGCGGAAATGCTCAAAACAACTTCTGACTAGGCAAGCTATGCTTTACAAAACACATAATCCGCATGCCACATTTTGTTCTCTGTTAAAGCCTTAGGTCCCTTTTACACAGGCTTATCTGTCCATGGATCCCCTCCAGATTTCAGCAGTACGGATCGGATTTTACCCCTGCGACATCCATGTCCCTCCAGTTCTTGTATGAGCCCCCATATCGGTCTATGGCAGGGATGGCCAAACTGCGGCCCTCCAGCTGTGGTGGAACTACGAATCCCATGAGGCTTTGCAAGATTCTCACAGCCATGCCTCCCGGAGATGCTTCATGGGATTTGTAGTTTCACCACAGCTGGAGGGCCGGAGTTTGGCCATCCCTGGTCAATGGAGAATGGGATGTAAATAGACACGTGTCTGTTTAAATCAGATTAGCTGGCATCCGGCATGATCAGGGCCGTCGAAATGGAACACCATTTCATTTGTTTTGCTGGAATTGGCTGGAGTCAGGGCCTCCTGTCCATTTACATATGGCTGCCTATAGACTAGAATTGGTCTATGGGCAGCCATTCCACCTGAAAAACCGACAGGGGACCCAATCAGACCTTCCATGTGAAAGGGGCATAAAGAAACTCCTTGCTATTTCTCCTCACACCACCCACCCACCCACCTCCTAGGCAGAACTAGCCCACTTTTACCCCCCAAAAGCTACATATTTACCGAGTTCAAGCCGCCAGGGCCCAGATCTCCACTTACATTTACATATACTTTATCTACAAAAGAACCAAACAGATCCTATGAACCAGGTTAATTATAACAGCAAGGTGTGCCAGGTATATCAGATCAACAATCTGACCTCACATAATTAACACTGTAATGTCAACCGCATTGGAACATCTCAATAGACTACCACTACTGGCATTTCTTAAAAAGGCAGTGCAAAAATAATGTGCAAGATCAAAGCACACAGACTGAATTTTTAATGATCTGATCATCTGATAGGCAGGAACATATAGAACACATTGTAGTGCTAGGCTGTCAAGGGTACACTACTGAATAGAGGGGAACAAACATTACATGACAGTCTCAGGTCCTAGTGGTTTCCTGATGGGTAGGTGGTAATCTGATGTACATGGAGGGGTATCTCAGAAAGGCCAGGATAAAGATTCTTAGGGGAAAATGCCAATGGGCAGGTTGGTAAAGGTTGGTTGATTGTCCCCGAAATACAAAAGATCACCTGTACTGCATGTTTGACTGCTCTCTTTCCGATGTCTATGGCCAGCCAGTACCTATAGTTACTGTTATAGTACTAATTCACTAAGCACAGATATAGAAAAATCTAAATAAAATAAAAGCAAAAATCAATGAAAAACAGAAAATGTGTTTTAAGATTCTTTTTATTGGCGAATTGCCAACTTAACGGCTAATTTCACCTTTCTGACCATGTTTCATGTTACACCCATATTTAGATTGTAACATGATTGCAACCCACACCCCCTTATTGGAATAGCGGGGTTCTTCTTCTCACAGTCTGCTGGGGTTTTTTTGCTCTTTTTTAAATTGCGCGGCTGTGTGGGCAGAGCCAAGTCATTTATCCACAGGGAGGAAGAAACCATAAGTCCAACATTGTGGACACTAAAGAATAAGAGAGTGTTGGAAACAATTTGTTTGGACTAACATAAATGGACATGGCTTGTTGATTATAGTATCACAGAGTCTAATTTCGTTTGACGCAGGCAAGTTTGGATAAATGTGTTTATCATTGTTGTTACATTCGCCACTAAGTTTTCTTTGATGGTAACATAATTTTGTTTTTTTAAAAAGGAGAATTATGAGGCGAGTGATTTTCACTCAGCCTCATAGTTAGAGCAGACCTGTGACAATGCAACTGTCAAAGGTCGGCTCAGTAGATTGGGAAGTGAGCGAACACATACCGGCGCTCGCTCACTTCTCGATCTATCCCTGCAGGGAGCCGTAACTGTCACTCACGGCTCCATCTCCACCGCCCGATCCTCCAGCGCTGACTGGCGAAACGGACGGGGGAGGGGACGGGCACAGCTGGCTCTGCCTCTGGATAGGCAGAGCCAGCCGTCAATCCCGCAGCTGGGTGGATCTAGACAGTATTGTCGGGATCCGTCCCGGCTGCGGCGTCCCAGTAGATCACGAGCTGTAGCTCGCGGTATACTGAGCTTTGGGTCATGGGAGAATGCTATTTTGTGTTTTCCCGTGACCCTTAGGTGAACTATGGGGAAAAGCCCTGACCCCATAGTTCTCCTTCAAGATTACTTGACACTGTAATAGCCTAGTGGGATTATTGTTTGTCATATAATCACTTCCATTATAAGTGCGATGCATAGTATTTCAGTTTATTTTATTGAGTAGTGATTTCTATCTTTAGTGCTGCTGCTCATAGCACCTGGGGCGCGGGATTTTTAGATTATAATTTTTGAAATTACAAATCCCGTCTGCCATAGTGTCAGAGGGGCTTGTATTTTCCAATGACGGTGACATCATCACAGTTGTAGTCCATTAACTCTGCCTCCCGTCCATGCTACTGCATGCCCGTACCTCGGTATGGGCATGGACGGTAGGAACTGTCTGCAGGAGCCAGAACATTGCAACAAAATAATAAATACACATTTTTTCTTTTATGAAGTGTGCATGTATTATTAATGTATGAACAAAGTGATCTTTCCTTTTAACTTAGGAAGTTGTCGCTTTAGACTACCCTTCTTCCGCCTCTCATCAGATAATGCAAAGCACATTGTTTGTGTAAAATGAAGTAACCTATAACATCCGATCGAATTATAGTTCATTGTAGTCACCTAAGCAATTCAGCTTCATAGTTCACCATGGTTTTCCTACTTTGTACTCAGTCACACACTGTGCAGCATTATTAAACAGGCACACATGACTTCTGTACACAAGATTTAGGTTTACATTGAAGAAATGACAAACCTGTTTGGGAACAGCTGAGTAGTCTACCGCTGTTGGCAATGTTATCTGATCACCGCTAAGCTTTCTACCACGTCCTGACCTTAATGAAAAAAAAAACAAAAACAAAAAAACACACATTGAGAATCGCAATAAATGAATACCATGCACATCTACAAGAAACTCAAACACAATCTAGAGTTTTTATAATAAAAACATTCAAAATACCGCAGTAAACTATAATACTTTAATAACGTTGGACACACTGCTGTAGAAGTTAAACCTTTGACATTAGATTACGGGGGCTGCAATTAAAGACTTGAATTTAAAAGATGCAGGTTCCAGGGTTGTCCTCCTGATCCTGGCTTCCCTAATAGTCAAAGACTCCTTGACCTTGAAACAGCATGCAGCCAGTAAAGTCCAGATCTTGTTCTGCATGCTTGTTTCCAGTCAGTAAATCAATCTAGCTGGCTATGGCTGGATCACAAATACATCCCTGGAGCACTTATGTTTTAAAAACTAAGTCCGTAAAAGCAGGACCTATAGTTGTATTCAGGTTCCCTTTAATTTGCCAACAGGCATGACAGAACAGTTCCTGATATCTGTAGTTGGTTTGGGCAATAACCATGTCTCTCCTTCATGGATCCCCTGCTGATCGGAGCAGAAGGAAACAGATGTCACTCCTTCAACATGCCTGTCCTTGTCCTGAGGAGGATGAGGGGGGGGGGGGGCGACTGAGCTGTGCAGACCAGTGTAAGGTATAAGGTGAGTCGGATGTAAGAAGAAGTGTCCGTTCACATACAAATTACTTCTGATCCGTCTCGATCAGCTACGCCAAAACAAAGCTCTATTCCACTTTTTTTTGGGGGGTTCTAGATGGAGTTGGGGATAATACAGTGACATTGGGCTTCCAATCAGATCCACCTAAAAAAACAGTTTTTTGTTTGGCCAATGAAGGAAGGGTTGCTAAAGGGTGGTGGCTTGATGTCATATGCTAAAACACATGAATATGTATGTTAAGCTGGCCATACACCTTACAATTATCTGCAGATTTTCTGTGGTCAGATGGAAAAGGTGCAACAGATTCCTCCGTCTACACTGAACTGTGTGGATGGAAGAATTTCCCCCTGGGCCAATCTGTTGCACCTTTTCCATCTGACCACAGAAAATCTGCAGACAATTGTAAGGTGTATGGGCACCTTTAGGGCTTGTTCACACCAGGTGTGTTGATCAATGCAGGCTTAATGCAAGGACACTGAGAAAACAGTAATGCAACAACACAAAACGCATGTTAACATGTACCAATACAAAAAAAAAAAAAAAGTTTAGAATTTGATGTGGCCTGTACAGAAAAGAACACAACAGCTGGAAAAAAGCATGCCAGTGCATTAAGCAGCACGCATTAAAAAAAAAAATCACACAGGACCATAATATTTATGGACTGCCCCAAGGTTTCTCAAACCATGCACACATGGACAAACGTCCTCTCAATTATTTGTCAAGCTTTAGAACCTAGGCTGTTGTAACTTTGTCTCCTGGAATTGGAAACCTAAGGGTTTGTTCACACCAGTCTGCACACTAAAAAGTGTGCGTGCTGGTGTGCGTTGTGCACGGGCACTGTTACAAAGCATCACACCGTTTACTTTTTTCCAACGTTATTAAAAGTGCCACAAAAGGACACTGCATTCATCTCTACGCACCGAAGCACACTGCTACGCACTGCTGTGACATACAGCAAAGGTGCATTGCACAAAGTGCAGACATGCTGCATTTTACACAACACACCTCAATACAGCATTATGGTGTGAGCAATCGTTTTCCATGTGCCCTTGTGATGATCTATGCAGCTTTTGTTCTTGAAATGTAGAAAACGCTGTGCGTAAAGTTACCTGCATATCAACCTCTTGAAGAAGGATAGAATGGACGCCAGGCAAGTGCAAATCTTAAATAGCCGAAACTGCGTGACAGCCATCCTGAGCAGTCTTTACCTAGAAATACAGAAGTTTAATGTAATATTACAATAATATAACAACATGTCCTCCTCTTACCTTCTGATTAATCTATACTGAGAGAGTAGAAAGACCCAACGGTCCAACCAGACCATCACAGACTTCTACAGCTGCAGGCAGCATTTCATTTCACTCTGCTGGGAATGCGATGGCTGTGCAGTGCTCAGACCACACACACACTGAAATGACCAGCCTATCTCCATAAGTGCCAACAGGAAGAAAGGCAGTGGAGAGCCAGAGCAGTGAAAGTGCTACACAGCCCACTGGCTCCCAAAAGAGTGCAATAACCTTCCGATAGGTGCTCTGTGTTCAGGTGCACAGCTGTGATATTAGGGCAAGGGGGAGTAGGAGGCATCTGGGACTTGGTCACCCTTTTGAACATTTATCCTTTAACTCATTCGTGACGACGTACAGTGTACGTCGCCAGCATCGGGGCTGTTTATACAGACTCCCGGCGACTTTTGCCGCCGGGACTGTTTAAACTTGTAGAGCCGACTGTCGGCTTTACAACAGAAGCGATCCTGGCGACTTACCTGTCGCCAGATCGCTTCTGTGTCCCGAAGAAGGGGCCGCCCCCCCGCCGGACACCGCTGCCGTGCTTCCCGGGTTCCGTTGCCCCTCCTATGGGACCGGCGTCCTTGGTCTGCATTCTGTACAAAATAAAGTGTGCAGAGTTCAAGAAGAACTCCAGGATTTTTAAAAATTAACCCCTGCACTGCAAGGGTCAAGTGATCATTTTGGTCTAGGGGGGGAAAAGAAAGAATAAATATTCACCTGATCCTCGGTCCTGAGGCAGTGACTTCTCACCTCTCTCCCCCTGCACTCTGGCTGTATGTCCCTTGCTGTCCTCTACCTCTAAAGGACCTAAATTAGACGTGATGACGTCACATATCCTTAGACTGCTGAAGCCGGGGTGGGATTTAGAGAGAAGAGGCTGCAGGGGCCGGGTTTAGCAGCATATTTCTTCTTTATTTTGCCCTTCTAGACAAAAGGAGCACTTAACCCTTGCAGGGTTAATTTGTAAAAATCCTTGCGTTCTACTTCAACCCCCCAATAACGGCAGCAGAAAGTGCGCAAAGAAAATCAAAGCAGAGATCTCATCAATAGATGGTTTGGCTCTTCATCTTCTACCAACAGCTGCAGTTCTGAGTAGAAGGACCCTTTAACAATTGCTTCCTGATCAGAGATAGTTTGTGTTTTAGGTTCAGTGGCCCTTTACAATAGCAGTATTCATTAACATCAGAGCAATCAAATACAAGGAGCAAACCATTGTTCAAAAAAGCAAATAAAAAGAAACTGCCCTCAGGCCTCCAGTGATGTGAGACGCAAGATGTAACTCAGTCACTGCTCTATGGCAGCGTGTTCCCTTCTCAGCCATGCTCTCTGATCTCCTGATAAGTACCTCGGCAATGCAGCTCCTCCAAGCGTCATTCAAAGCTCCACGCTGATCATAGATTGCAAATCGTGGTTTTCACTGGAAAAGGAAAGAACACCGATTAATAACAGCACAATGAAATGCAAAGAATGTGAAGCTGTATTATATTTCAGTGTAGAAGAGTGAGAATAAAAGCAATAGGCTGCTCACACACAAAGCAGTGCAACAACTTCAAACATTGCTTGTAACATTTGCTCAGCATGACCATGTCTAGGAGGAATACATTGAGGGGAATTTATGAAAACTGGAGCAGCTGTGCATGGCAACCAATCAGCTTCTCTCTACGGTTTGTTCAGTTAAGAATTGAAAAGGAAAGAGAGAAGCTGATTGGTTGCCATGCACCTCTGCTCCAGTATTAAGTTGCTGGAAGGAACAATCTTTGAACATTTCCATAGCATGAGAAAATAAAAAGTACCTTTGACAGTGCACCATTCAGATACTGCTAGCATAAGATTGTGCTCATATCCACAGGTAATGACAATACAGAGATACATCTGTTAGCTTTGTGACTAAGGATGCCCGACAAAGCCAAGTGCAGAGATGCAAGATTGTGAGTCCAACAGAAAATCTCTAACACTATTCTATAGGTTGGACTCGCTCGATGGACTTGTGTCTTTTTTCAACCTGACTAACTATGTAACTATATGGCTGAAAGTTTGTGGGACACCTGACAATTACATCTACTATATGGACAAAGGTGAGTGGGCAGTCTTACATATTACGGAGTTCTGGTGTTTTTCCAGTGAAGGGTACTGCTAAGGTGACACTAAACTCAGGTGTTAAATCTTAAAAATGCATTCAAGTACCTTAAAAAAGGAGAACCATGGGGTTAAGGCTTTTCCCCATAGTTCTCCTTAGGGTAACGGGAGGACACAAACTAGCGTCCTCCCATCACCCTAAGCTCAGTATACAGCGAGCTACAGCGGTAGCTCGCGGTATACTGTGGCGTCTCAGTATACTGACAGCCCCTCCCCTGTCACGGCAGAGAGCTGCGACAGGATCCAGAGGTGAGCGAACGCCGGTATGTGTTCGCTCACTTCCTACTGAGCCGACCTGTGACAGTCTCATTGTAACAGGTCGGCTAGAACTATGAGGTGAGTGAAAAGCACTCACCTCATAGTTCTCCTTTAAGCTGGCCATACACTAGTAGATCCATCTAAAAATCTCATTAGAACCTTGGATAATGCCATCAGAGACTAACAGGGTTATTCACTAAAGGGTGAAGAGTTTGGAGAAGGCGGGAGAAGAGAACAACCTGGGCCAAAATAGCTGATTTGGAAAAATTGCAAAAAGTGAAAAGCACTCACCTCATAGTTCTCCTTTAACTACTAACACAAATGTACCTTATTTGTGCATCACTTTGTGCATCACTCGCTGTAGATCCTCAAATCATCTCTGAATTGGTGTGGACACCGTCCTTCCTTTTGAAGGGTGGCTTTTGTTCCCCATCGTCCCTGTGTGTGTTGTAAAGTAGCCACCACTCCAAACTCACTCCTGTGATGGACTACAATCTCATGTCTAGTTTACCAATTTGTATTGAGATTGTAGTCCATCACGGGACCAAGGACTACTTTACAACACACACAGGGACCATGGGCAAAGTAGTCACCCTCCAGAAGGAAGGACGGTGTCAGCACCAATTCAGAGATGATTTGAGAATCTACAGCTGAGCGATACACAAATAAGATACATTTCTGTTAATAGTTAAATCTTAAAAATGTATTCAAGTATCTTAACTCCTGAGTTTTAGTGTCACTTTAATATCGCAACATACAAAGAAATTTTAGACCAAGTAGGCAACCTTGGCACTCCAGCTGTGGTAAAGTTACAAATCCCATCATTTGTCTACCTTTGGGAGTCATGCCAGTGGCTGTCAGTCTTGCAATGCCTCATGGGACTTGTAGTTCCACAACAGCTGGAGTGCTGAGGTTGCCTACCCCAGTTCAAGACAATTGTGTGCCTCCAACCTTGTGGGAGAAGTTTGGGGAAGGTCCTTTTCTGTTCCAGCAGGAAGGTGATCTTGTGCACGAAGCCAGCTTCATACATGAATGGCTTGTTTAAAGCCCTGACCATAACCCCACTGAACAAGGTCGGGTTGTACATGTGTACAGTCAATATCTGGTCCAGACACGGATACACACCATCTGACATTTGTAAATCTTCATCTTAAACTCTGTAGGAAACCTTTTCATGGGGTGGTATGTTATACATCAATGAATTCAAACCTCAATCTATACATATAAGAGAATGAAATGCGGCATTCTCAAAACATAAGCTGAGTTGTGCGAGGTCCCCAGCAATCTCCATCCTACGCGTTTCCTCCAACCAGACTGGGAATGTGTGGAATGCCGGGCATACGTTTTATAGTAGAATGCTGCAGTTTGGATGGTGTATATCCGTGGCTGATTTAGCCGGGTTATCACAGTGGCTCTACACAACATTTTTGGTGACTTGGCTTACTTGTATAGTTAACATGACAGGAGCAGCAACCAGCAGTTTGAATTGCTCAGATTAATGGCAACAGAATACTTCTCAGCTTAGCCCATGCCATTTAATAAACGCTGTGCTATAAGAAAACATTAAAAAGTTAGGGATGCACCGATACTAGTATTGGTATAGATACCGAGTATTTGGGCAAGTGCTTGCAATACCTTCCCCGATACTTCGGGTCAGAGGAAAATTTCCTGTAACCGTCAGTACCGTAGGGAAACATGGAGCCGTCTTCCTGGGTAATGAGGAAGCTGAGTGGCGAGTAATTACCTGCCAGCTTCCTGATTGGCAGGAAAGCCGGCTTCCCAGCCAATTAGGAAGGAGGCCGCTTCCTGAGCCAATCAGGAAGCTGGGAGGCAGGTCATTTCTTGCAGCCCAGCTTCCCGATTGGCCGGGAAGCTGGCTTGATGCTGATTGTGATTGGCTGGGAAACCAGCTTCCCAGCCAATCAGCATCAAGCCAGCTTCCCGGCCAATCGAATCGGCCAAACATGGATCCGGCTTTCCAGTCAATCAGGAAGCCAGTCGGCATGTCATTACCCGTCTTCCTGATTGCTCAGGAAGCCGGCACCATGCCAGCGGAAGTATAATCATTATACAGCGCAATGGAGAATACCACCAGCTATAGAGGACTACAAATCCCAGCAATAATACATTATATACAACGCAATGCAGAATACCACCAGCTATAGAGGACTACAAATCCCAGCAATAATACATTATATACAACGCAATGCAGAATACCAGCAGTTACAGGGGACTACAAATCCCAGCAATAGTATTATCGTATAAAGGACTATTGCTGGCATTTGTTGTATTCCTATATAGCTGCTGGTATTCTGTATTTCGCCGTATAATCATTATACAGCGCAATGGAGAATACCACCAGCTATAGAGGACTACAAATCCCAGCAATAATACATTATAGTATAATGTACTATTTCTGCATTCCTCTATAGCTGCTGGTATTCTGCATTGCGCCGCTGTATAATGTACTATATTGCACACAATACTTTTTTCTTATTTCCACTGCTCCAAGCTTGCTCCCGTGATGGACTACAATCTCAATACAAACTAGTAGTCCATCACTGGAGCCTTTTTTCTTTTTAATTTGATTAATCGAACTTAATAATAAGCTAACTAATCGATTATGGAAATAATCATAAGTTGCAGCCCTACTCCCCAGCATTCAGAAACGGGAAAAAGCAGCGGTGTGATCAGAGTGGTGTAATCATCCAGCGTGTACAATGAGAGTGACGAGCCCGATTATCCAGCTGTATATTAATGATAAAAAGAGGAACATGTGATTACCCAGCATGCAGTGTGGAATGATATATAATTGTATATTAAAAAAGGAGAACTATGAGGTGAGTGAAAATCACTTAACCTCATTGTTTGAGCCGACTTGGGACAATGAAACTGTCACACGTCTGCTCAATAGATCGGGAAGTGAGTGAACACATACCGTCACTCACTCACTTCTCGATCATCTCCCTGCAGAGAGCGGTGACTGTCAGTCACTGCTCCCCGCTGGGATTCCCCCCCTCCCTGCTCCGATCCTCCAGTGCTGACTGGAGGAGGCGGGCACAGCTGGCTCTGCCTCTAGATTGACATCGGGCTCTGCCTATCAGCCAGCTGGGTGGATCCAGACAGTATTTTCGGGATCCGTCCCAGCTGCGGTGCTCTCACTATATTGCAGGCAATAGCCCGCGATATACTGAGCTTTGGGTCACAGGAGGAGGTTAGTGTATGTCCTACCGTCACCCTAAAGAGAACCATAGGATAAAAAGGTTGGGCCATTGCTTTCTTTTAATGGTGAAAAGAGGAAGGTGTGATTACCCAGCATGCAGTACACGGCCAGGATAATGATTTGATAACCAGCCAGCATACAGTGTACAGTACTGACATTGATAATAAGAGGGGTGATTACCCAGCATGCTGTAAACCATAATAATAATAATAATAATAATAATAATAATAATAATAGGCTGTAAAATCCTTTTCTTAAAGACCACTGAGGGACACAGGAAGCTTTAAACCTTTGGGTTATGCTGCCACCTACAAGAGGATTAAGACTCCATGTGTCCCTTAAATGGACAGGAAAGAAAAATACTCAGCATGCAGTGCTCTGCACTGATGCACATAAAATAAAATAATTAACCCATAATAACAATACAGCATGCAGAGCCCAGAATTAATGGTATTATTATTAACATCAATATCAGTACAGTGCACTGCAAGCTCATTATCAACTGAGCATGCAGGAGCACTGTACTCAAAATAATAATGACGGGGAACCCACCTGGCATGCAATGGACGATAATGGCCTTGCATGCAGTGCTCAGTACTGATATTGATGATGATAATAATGACCCGACATGCAGTGCTCAGTACTGATAATGATGATAATAATAATGACCCGGCATGCAGTGCTCAGTACTGATAATGATGATAATAATAATGACCCAGCATGCAATGCTCAGTACTGATATTGATGATGATAATAATAATGACCCAGCATGCAGTGCTCAGTACTGATAATGATGATAA